TTGTAATCACCACATAAAAACATTACCTTATTACTTAAGATTGAATAATTTTTCTCACCCCAATCACTAAATATATCTATACTCGAGCCAGGTGCTCTGTAAATACAACTCACTAAAATATTTTTCTTATTTTCCATTAATATTTCTATTGTAACGCATTCTATTGTAACCTTAATGCATTCAGTCCACTGAGAAACACTGCAAGAAAGACAAGCACTCCACAAAACATGTACATCACACGTGACACATTTTCCATAACTATATTGAAAGTGGGTGTGGCATAACGATGTGCTGGTTAGCGCTGTCACCTCACAGTAAGAAGGTCCTGGATTCAAGCCTGGGCTGACTTTGGGCCTTTCTGTGCATAGTTTTCATGCATGTCTGATTCATTAAAGGCCCAGTCTCCAACAGGTGCTTCATAGCTTATAGGGGTTGAATCAGGACAAGGGGAGCCCTCCTTTGGCTCTGAGGGTCACACATTTCAGTAAGCCAGGCACCAGAGGGCCCCATATCCTAGGAAAACAGGTTTTCTCACAGCCACTTGGATAAATGCAATAATGCATTTGTGTGTGTGTGTGTGTGTGAGGGGGGGGGGGGGGCAATGAAGTCTGGACCTTTTGAAAAGGCAAATATCAATTTTCTTCCTTTAATCACATTTTATATAGCGAATAAATAAACTGTTCCTCTGTCATAAGTTTTAACCATGACTCCTCTTGTCTTCCATTTCTTTCAGAGGAGAGGAGGTGGAGGGCAATATGAAATGTGAGCCCTCTGATGGAAATGATAAATATCAGTTTATCTAATGTTACTACAGATTTATTGTATTTAGTTACCTATTCCCAAATGATTTGGCTTTTTAAAGTATTCATTTTCCATTTTGCATGTTATTGAGTACAGTGCACATTTTGGCAAAGTTCATTTCTGGTGCCTCCCATTTCCAAATTTCAGCTTCAGTTAATTATTTTCATTTAATATTTTATCCTGTCTCCTAAAACACTGCCCTTGTCCTGCTGTTTGCTCAGTGCAGATTTCTCCAAACCACTAGTCACCATGGTCAGAGTTGTTCTATGATGTAAATACAGATGAATACCTGTAATTCATGGCCTCTATATGCAGTAAAAATTTTAGAATTACACGGGTGGCTTAACTCTCTAACAGCCATGTTTTTAGAAAGCATAGTTTGCTTTCAGCAGAGACATTAGCTACATTTCCACAGCTCTCAAAGACTTGATACTGTCCATTTGAGGAAAGGGATTTAAATTACTTTATTGATCTTAATAATCAAATAAAAGAAAAAAAAACATCCATCTTAGGTATGATCGAGGTCTGCATTACAACATTATCACTTTAATCTGTATAAAGTACGTTATATGTGAATATGCCACAACACATTTCCAAAAATAACTCTGTGTCAACAGGGTTCCATTAAGATCCGTTTATGGTTCAAATAAAATCAATGACAATCTCATATATGAAATGTGTTGGATTTCAATACCATGCAATCATATTCATTAGGCTTTGTACTGTATGATATGTATTGGTGCAAATGCATGCAGAGGATTACTGTTGAGTGAAAACATGTTCAGTCTTCAGACCATGATAAAGTAAAGACAATTAATAAAATAGCAGGGATTAGTTCTGCAGAAAACATAGCAGCTGTGTTGGTGTTAGTACTTTACACCAACTTTAAAACCTGCTCAGCATGTTACTTTTGCCAAGTCCATCTCTTCCCCCCAGCATTCTCTACAGTATAAGTATATTTCAAAAGACATTAAATTTATACTGGCTCACTCTAGATGCCATTTTTCTGCTGGTTGACACTTCAATTCTGTCAAAAAAAAAAAAGAAGTTGCCAGTACATAACTGAGTACAAAATATGTCCTGAATGCAGTTGGCAGGCAAACAGTGGTGTTGCCATAAATGCCATAGCAACAGAGACAAACTTCAGGAGTAGTAGTGGCTGGACTGGCTTTGACAATATCACTATCTAAATCAGGAAAATGAAAATACACTAGTACTTTTGGCTCATCTCTGAATGTAACACTAAAATGAAACGTTGGAGCATTCTTGGGATTTGCTGAGACAAGTCTGTGTGTACGTGGAGAGGGTTGGCACAGAGGTTCATTCACAGCAGGACCAGGTCTGGTGAAATTCTCATGCATTGGAGTCTTCATCCGTTACACTGAGGTTCGGTGAATTGGAAATCTCTTTGAAAAATTCATCGTCTTTCAGCATACTCTAGTATAGGCCACAATACAGAATGAGAAAAAAAAAATTAACTTCACAACTATAAGCTTGTGGAAATAATGGTACTGATGAGTATAATGTGTTAAGTGTCCTGGTCAACCTTTAGACTCTTACCGTTAGATTTTGAATACCCTCGGAGAAAGCTCCGATCTGTCTCACAGTTCCCTCAGAGTCCTCCATCTATGAAAAGACAAGCACCTTTCAAATACAATAAACCGAGACCCACAATAGAGTAGAGAAACATCAGTTGACCAGATACTTCTGCTGGTAATGAAAAAAATGTCATCCTCCAAGAAATATCAGAAACAGTGTACACACAACAGCAAAATCTGATCAAATCTTCATGAAAATTGGGGGTTTTCATATGATGAATACAGTAAATACTTTTGGCAAGCTGATTTCAGATGTACTGCAAATGCAATGAGATAATGTAACTACTGATGTTTTAACAGATACAAGAATCATAATTCAATATGCAATATCACCTGTTCTAGCTTGTCGAGATCATCCTCGTAGATTTGGAGCTCGAAGCCCTTCTGGAAGCTTCTTCCCTTTGGCATCTCCACATCCATTGGACACACATACTCCTCACTCTCATCCTGCCTTTTCTTCCTTAGACTACCAAAGTTACCAAGTGACAGTTTCTTTGGCTGTACGAATGAGCAGAGAGAGAACAGAAATACAGTGTGTCAGTTTTATATAGACTCATTTATGAATACATACACAAAGAACCGAGTACATTTACTTCAAGGTTACCACACTTACTTTACAATTTAAACTACTTTTTACTCAATTCAAACCCATTTTCTGTGACTGCACTATTGTAGTATAGAATAAATCAACTTTTAAGGGTCTACCAGTTAAAAGATTTGGTGTTAAGAGACTAAATGTAAGTTGTTGATACAAATTGCACAGATAATGTACATTGTATCTTGTTCATTATTGCTATATTTATTATTCCTTATTTTTATGTATTGCTTTTAAAAACTGAAATTGTATTTTCAGGTGAAATGACAAACCTGATATAATGTCAAATCAAATTACTTTTTAAAAACTTTGTACTGATACATTATCCTAAACCCACACTCTTCCCTGGATAGTCCAGACACTAGCCATTTAGAAGCACAGACATCTAGCCTCCATAACCTGTGGCATTACCTTGACCTTGGTAGTGGCAGTAAGCAGAATGTAGTCTGGGTTTTCAAGGCACTCCTGTTTAAGCTGCTGGGCCTCTGAGCCTATGAGCAGGCTGAAATGTGTGGCGAGGTGACGACGCAGCAGAGTTTTATTGGGAGGAATGTTCAGCAGCAGGGCCATGGTCTCCACGTTGAACCGTGGCTCCAGAACCTGAGGAGGGGGATGTATTAAGACCAAATACAGAACTTTTGAGGACAGTCTACAGTTCCCAGGAGACTCTGGACTGTCTCACCATCAGGCCTCCATGCACACCACTGCCTCTCAGGTTGGGAGCATATTCAGCAAGGTCTACAGAGCGTAGCCACTCCATCACCCTGTGGTTGGTCCACTTTGAAATCTCTGCTGGAGACATGTTGTTCTATGGGCATACAGCACAGAAAAAGGCTGAATAAATCGCAGCTCAGAAACAGAGAGTATGTCTGCATACAGCCATGGGTATAAAACAGTACAAAAGGCTGCAAAAACGTTATTTTCTCGAGTGACTTCAAAAGTGAACACACCTCGTCAGATGGTCTACGACGCAAACAGTTGGGCTCATAGTTGTTGAGCCGGAGCACTTGTATGGCTCTCTTGATACTGAGATGATGCAGGACACTTCCCACCTTCAGAGAAAGCAGGTCATCCTGAAGGACAAAGGCATCAATGATTTACTGTTAATTCAAATAATAAAAGCAAAGTTCAGCTGAAGCCATGGCGATGTATATTAGAGTTTGAACTGAGCCAGAGGCTGCAGCTTTGTTATCACAGAGGGCAAGATCAGGTCATTTCCACTGAAGCTCAGACTCTCTATGCAGTAATACTAATGTGAGCTGGCACCGGAGTCATCAGACCTACTTATCCAGTGGGGACTCACCACTGTCATGTAGTGCAGCATGCGACCATCCACCCTCCCTTCATCAAACTGCGTCTTATACTGAGGCAGACCGATGTCATCCAGCCATCCTGAGAGGAGGAGAAAAAATAAAATGTAGTGAGGAGGTGGTCAACTTGACAGTGAAGCCAAACTGTCAAGAAAAAGGAAAAAGAAATCAAAATCTAAATCAAATCTCCCCTAGCCAGTAGGGCTGCACGATAAAAAGATTTGTGAGCGTGACTGAGATCTCAGTCTCACGTGATAATGTGAGACTGTGTTTGCATTAGCAGGGAGATGTCTTCTCTTCCCGTCTAGCTTGTCATGTGATGTAACGTATTCATGCCACTGGTTAAGGCATCTTATTGCAGATAAGGGAGTGCCTGGTATGTTGAAAGGCATCTTCATGCTAATGCAAACACAGCAGAATCATTGTACATGAGAATGAGATCACATAGGGGTATAAATCACGCTCACCAAATGATTTATCGCGCAGCCCTACTAACCAGCAAAGTATTTTAACTTGACTGGCTGCTGGTACTCACTCTTCACCCAGTTGTAGTCCAGCCTCCCTTTATTATCATCCTCCTCTGAGCCAAGAGCCTGCAGAGCCAGCTGCAGCTTCTTTCTGTGCAGCGGGGTTTTAATGCCCAGCTCCTAAACATCCACAAGAAGACAAATGAGGATTACACACAACATCCTTTGAATACTACACGGTAAATTCAGAGCAACAATACTTCACATATGCCAGCTATAGTATATTTACTACATTCTTCTGCTTCTTCTCACCCTCTCCAGGTCCTGTTGTGAGGCCTGTAACAGTGTCTGTCCGGAGGAAATCCATACACGAGCCATGTTCATGTAAAGGCCAAGACCCTGCTCCTGAAGCCAGTCACACACCTGATCCTTTGACCAGCGTGCAAAGGGAGCATCAACATCACTAAGAAAGAGAAATGAGGAAAAAAAGTAAAGGCTTTCATAAGGCACCGCCTTGTAGCAGTACAAAAAGGAAACAAATATGTTTAAATTGTGAGATATGGTATATGTATTTTGAAGTCGCCATTATCCTGACAAACACTGCTTTGTTAAAAATCCCTGCATTCTACACCAGACATTCAAAACAAGGAAACCATACTCAAAGTCTTATTATTCAGGCTGAATGCACAGACTTACTTGTTGACTCGCTGAAGGTCATGAGACCAACCCAGTCTGGGTCCTGCTGTGGCTCGAACTCCACCCCTCTTGAACGTACCCTCTGGTGGGTCGTCGTCCAGGGTAAATGTGGTAGACTGACTTCTTTTTAGCCTTAAAAATAAGACATTCAAATCTAAAACATCCTCACACAAATTCCACATTAATAAAATTATTTGCTCATCATTTGTAGGCGAGTATAAAAAAAATTATGTTTTAAACATTTGTATCTGTTATTCTCAAGGTATTCAAATTATTTAATCAAGCTTTTTATTAATTAAAGTTACTTATATTGCTGTTCTTAAAATCAAGAGGTCAAGAATCTCATGTAATATTCTACTCACTTTCCGAAGAGTTTTTTAATTCCTTTGGATTTTTTCTTGCTCTCTGAGGTTGTAGGGAGAATGTGGGTGCTGTCACTGTTAGGTGACCTCTGCGGCAGCTGCTGTCACTGTTAGGTGACCTCTGCGGTAGCCCAGCCAGATCCAGATGATCAGTGCCCTGTCGCTCTGTATCAGCTAGACAGACAAATGCCCGCAGAACAATCAGTGTCAGTGTAGGAGACATGCACAGATTGATGGAGACAGAACTGCTGTATGGGGCCAGAAAACACTCAGACACGTGAAACTCCAAGATGTTCATGGTAATGGGTGTACATGCATCAGACACAGTCTAACTAAAGCTGGAATAAAATGGTTATTTTAATTAGATACAAGAAAATTCAACAGTTTTCTGTTTTTAGATTTTTAATGAGGGGCGCCAACGTAAGTCCTTTTAGCTTATAATCTGGATCAAAGATGGGATGGATGAAGGAAACAAAAGTGTTAAATACATGCAGGTGCACAGGCAAATCAACATGACAGACTGGCTGTATGTTGGATAGACAGCATTTGTGCAACAGTGGGTAGTGACAACGGTGTGGTTGTTAAAGCACTGCAGCTCCTAAAACGTGCTATGATGGAAAGGGGTCAATGAGCTCAGGAAAGGCAAAGATGTACAGTGACAGAGGATATATTCAGTAGTTTCCTTTGTTTTCTTTGGAAAACTACTGCAACCCTTCAATAACCTGTGGTCTACTGTACCTAGCATAGGGGCACTCGCACTCCGGCTGCGGTCTTCATGTGTTACAAAGCACACACAACACACAACAGGGTCCAACAGAAAAAGAACAAGACAGAGGGCAGAAATTATGAGTGAAATAATAACAGGACTGGGGAGGTGGGAAAACAGACATACATGTGTACAGTACCAACACACACACACACAAAGAGAGTACAAAAAGCATACAACAGCACAGAAACAGATCACAGTTCTGTGGGCTCCAAATTATGGCCTTGGTCCATACTTTATATTCCATATATTGGGAAAATTGAAGTTGTCCATGGTGGAAGAAAGGCCTCCAAGAAAAGGTGACCCTCTAGTAAACCACAGGTATTTACTGCATTCACAATAACATCATATACAGATTGAGTCACCTTACAGACTTAACTTCTTTTCCAGCTGCTAAATCAAGTAGTTTGTTCTTACCAAGGTTAGGACTGCTGGTCGTCTTCTTTCCCCCGCGGATCTTGAAGAAACCTTTTCCAAAAGATGAACGTGCCTTTCTTGAGCCAAAGCTGTCATCCTCTGTGGTGGCAGGCAAAGTGGCAGAGGGACCAATGGGTGGCTTGTCACTTATCTTTTTAATTTCTTCACCTGTAGTCTAAAAAACAAAGTGCATTACTCATACAGTGAACAGCATCTATATTTGCATATACTGTTCTGGATGTTCTTGTAAAGCTTAAAATTCTAAAGTCACAACGAGAGGTGCTGGTGAGACTCAAAGCCTACCCGTATTCATAAAAAACAAAATCAACATTTTTATGACAAAATCCAGACTACGATATACAAAGTTTTTTGTAAACTTAAGAAAGATAGGACTTTCCCCATTATTTTAACCTTTTCATTATTGCTCCTGTCCAGGTGGTCCTGGCTGCCGGTCTTTGTGGCATTTTGACTGAAATGACAAACAATGTCAATGCAAACTTCACTCGTGGCAGTGTATCTGAGACGGTAAGCTTGTCTCACATGGTCATAAAAAGCAGCACTGTGGTGCTACAGGATATTGACTGCAGTTCCACACACTCCTCTCATGTGTGGCTTAAGGAGGCCTACTGAGGCCCTTCCTCATACTGTGTCTGCACCAAGTATATATTCAAATTAATACAGTAAAGATAGACCACTGTTGGTTTATTAGGTCACCTTTCTCCATCTGTTGGTGTGGACTGTGACACTCGTTCAGGATCTGAAGGGCTTGGTGTAGGTGAAGGCTCTTCACTCAGTCTATCGAGGCCCTCCTGCTAAGCATGGACCAAAATGAGAAAAGACAGACAAAAACAGACTGTTCGAATCTCAAAGTGTGCAGTGCCTTAAGTGAGCTTAGTGTTTCACTGACCATTTTAGAGTTTGAGGTTACAAGTTTTTTGACAGGAAAAAAAAATGTAAAAACCTGCAGCCAACTAATCATTAGCAATATATCAAGAACATAACACCACTAAAATTGATGAGTTTCTTATTCAGCATCTTAAATTCTACATTTCTGAAACAGATTATCATATTTTTTCGTGCTTTATCCTATTAGCGTTTACTTTTCCAATCACGTCCCCCTACTTCTGACAGTTTAGACCATTTGAGTGATATTTAGATCATTTATTACATCATGTGCTTCACAAACCTCATCTGGGCTCTTTCCTTTCAGTTGTTCACCATCTGTAACTTCCTGCTTTTCTGATTCCATAGACAAGAATGCGATGGAACCATCACCATGAATCTCGACATGCTCATTATCTTTGGTTTTCTCTGGGGTGGAGAATAAATAAGATGTGACTGAAAAAAGACTGTATAGTTTGGCATGTAAAAATTAAGAATCAGCTTTTTCTCAGTAGCATTAATTAAACCACCTCAAAGCTCTGAGGAACAGTGTTCCCTGAAGCACAATATGTGTTAAAACCAATCAAACTGCTCACCCACAGGTGATTTCCTTTAGTACTTTATTTAGTACTATATTTTTGGGCTTTTAGCGTTTATTTAAAGTAAATCCCTGAGAGGCAGACAGGAAACAAGGAAGACAGAGAGAGAGAGAGCAGGGAGGAGCTGGGACAAATGTTGGCGGTTGGACTTAATCCGTCACACATGCAGTGTGGTGCCAAGTACATGGTGCACCGCACCATACCCCCTCGGTTATGGGGTGCCCAGTACTTCTGTATCTCTGACATTCAAGTAATATCAGTCATCTACTCCAACAGAAGAAATGTTTCACCTTTCTTCCCTTGCACTGACATCACCATGTCTTGAACTCTCTTATACCGCTGCAGTGACTGCTTTAATTCCTCAATCTTGCGATCCTGCAAAGGAGAACAATTAAAATGCACAATGAGGTCCATTTTTCAAGAGGAGGGTTAAATCATTTGATGTGATACATAACTTCTCAAATGTACCTTCTCTTCATTGGCTGCCATCAACGATTCAACTGCCTTTTTCATTCTCTGCACTTCCACATCTAGTGTGTGTGAGGATGTTTAAGGAGAGTAAAAAAAGTGAGGATGGATAATTAGCCTGAACACACAGGATACAACTGATAGATTTAATACAGTACATTCAGACAAAACAGGCTACAGTATTACTGACTTTCACTGCAGTAACATCACAGTCACATTCCTTATTGATTCATCATATCCATGGGTAAGCAGGTGTTTCCCATGTTTCCACTTTGGTAGATCATTTTCACTTTTCAGAACAGACACAAGGCTCTGTGAGCAGTCAACCCTCAACATTAACAATCTTAGGAAAACTCTGTTGTTCAAACATTTTCCCCACAGGTTTATTATCTCTAAATAATCCAAAACAGAAGTGTTTCAGTAGTGGCCAATTTGAGTGGTGCAGAGTCATACTGAAGGAGTGTGTGCACTGAGGGGAAAATGAAATTGCTCTACTTAAGTCAAAGATCACTGATGTAAGACAGACATGAAATCAGCACTTAAGGACAAAGATACTGTCCCATAACAGTGAACATGACAACATTACAAGTTAGCAAGGCACGCAGATGTTGTTGGTGTGAGGAGTTGCAGGTTTAGAGGTACCGAGGGGTACAGGGGGTGATTATTGCCGGTGGACATGAGGCAGGAACAGGAGTGAGCAGCATGAATGGTTATGACAAACAATTCAGTTCATTCCTCATTCTGTTGAAAACACAAAGCAGACATTGCTTGATGCTGTTCCAGGTTGGACATTAGAAACTATGGATGACCTTGGATTTGTTCAGTTCATACTCGTTAAAAGTTGACAACAGATGTGATGCTCTGTGGGCAGGTATTAGCACTCCAGGGGGTTACAATGGACAAGCAGAGTTCAGGTGGCTCATGCAAACAGGGGCTGAGATGGGTGCAGTAATAAAGTGGAATAATAAACACAAACATATTAAAAAAAAAACCCTTACGCTTTTCTTTCAGCCTCTTTCTAAGAGTTTCATCTGGATGAGAGACTAAACAAGACAAAGAATTATGAAATAAAAAACTGGTTGGTGGCAGATTCTGACTTTCTGTAGGACTTGCTCTATTACTTTGCTCGCTATACACAGATATAACACAACTCAATCATATTACATAAAGTTCAACATGTTAGGGTAAACATCATCCATGTTCAGTGGGGCTGTGATTCAACTGGCTTGCTCACCTCTGTCCGAGTGATCAGCACTGCTTGAGGCTTTGAAGCCTGTCTCATCTTGTAATCTCCTCATCTCTCCGTCTTTGCCCTCCAGCTGCCTCCTCAGCACGGCCAGCTCCTCCTGTTCAACAGAGGATGCCAGTGAAGATATTTCCTCCACACAGACCCCCCCCACCACCACAAAACACAACACTTCAAACAAACCACATCACAAAGGTTCACAAATGCTGACGTGGCATATAGGCATGCAGGCTATACCTGCTCTGTAGGGTAAAGTGTGTGAGGTGGGTAGTAAACACAGAAGTAATACAGTAACAAACACAGGAGTCATTAAAAAAAAAACATGTTTAAGTGATCGGAACAGGAATCACACATGGAGTTGTAATAAAGATGAGCAGAATAAAGGAAATCAGTATAAAACGGGACAAAGAAAGACAGAAAAACAGAACTTTTGCCAACTCTTGGAAAAAAAAATAAAACACCTGCGATTTGAAGAATGTCAACATTTGCTTAAACTGGCACCTTTACAAAAAGTGACATCATGTTGCCAAAAAGACTAAAAGAAAACTTGAAAAACTGCAACAAAACGGATTTAAGGATTTTCCCCCATCAAAAATAAAAACAGGAGACAAAGGGAGAGGTCAAAAACCATAATCATACAGCAAGCACAACAGTCACCCCGAAAAAAGCCAACCTTCATTGCCTGGAGTTTGTGCTCCTTCCTCTGTTTCTCATACTGCATCTGGCCCATTTTGATTTTCAGGCTAGAAAGCTTGGCCATTAGCGACTAGCAGTAGAGAGATAAACCAAGGAAGAAAGCCAAAATAGAGACGCAAGAAGTAAAAGATAAGAAGTCAAGTAGGTGCAGCACCCAAGATTCAAACAAACATATTTACACATATAAAAAAAGCATTGATACCGTTGATTGACAGTATCAAAGGTTAAAAGCAGCTTTACACTCTGGGTAGACTGTAAAGGTTAAAAAAAGCATTGTCACGGTCCATGTGGAAACCTTCAAGGTCAGTGTGGAGAGTAGGAAACATTACAATGATAAAGTCCCATTCTCATGTACATATGGGCATGTCGTTGTTTTAAGACCGAGTTGAAAAAAATCCTGAACCTATTATGCAAGTTAAATTAAGATACAGTATTCACCATCCTACAGCATCACTGAACAAGGTCTCATACAGTTCAAATGTAGTGATAGCAATCATAAATACCTCAACTCAGAGCTATAAAACAGCCAACAATAACAAGAATAAATTATAAATACATTGAATAACACTGACAGAGAGCTGTCAAACAAAAGCAGACTAAGTGCTAATGTGATGTCTTTTTGACCTGACTAATACTAATTAACGTGTGGACAAGAGCTACAGTAACCTATTAAGAACTGAGTGGTAGCGTGAATGATTTTCTACAAATCATAAAAGAATTGTAAAACTCTGATATTAAAGATATGGAAAAAAATGACATGAGAGTACCAGTGAACTGGTTAGGTAGTATAAGCAGTTTTTTGTTGAGGGGTCCCTACAAAAGAACTTTGCTTAGCTAAAGAAGACAGCTCCTAAAAAATCATAAAAGCAAGGAAAAAACGAGATATTGATCATGAACAGTTTTTCATATGAACACAAAGTATGCAAATGTCCCTGTCACCACTCACCTTTGTAGATTTAAGTTTCTTTTCATACTGTAGTTTCTCATTCTCCAGGTCTGTCAGTCGGTACCGCAGTTTGTTAATTTCAAGAATCAAATCCTGAAGGAACACAAAGTGTATAATAACAAAGGAAGGAAAATAGCAAGGCTCCCCCCCCCCCCATACTCTACATCTTATGATACATACGATTTAGAGTATGGTGCTGAGATTGTGCAGAAGCCTTTTTTGTCTTTGCAGTTAGCTGTTGGTTTCCCAGTACAAGTTACATTATGACACCTCTCGCATGCCACAGTTTGGGTTAAAGGTTCATTTACAAAACTGTACAGCTCTTCATACACAATTACCATTACTCATATCAATTTAGCATCAGCATAACATGTATAGTACAGTTTAAACAAACTCTACAAAGCAAATCTAGATATGTTTGAAGGGACTGAACAAAAGGAGAGGAAGCTGCTTGTAGAAAAAAAAGTGATGTATGTGCTGTGAGACAAAATATGGACAGCAGCTTTCTCTTCCAGTGGAGTGGAAAGAATGACTGTGCTACCACAACAATGACATGATGTGTATGTAGGCTTTTCAAGAATTCTGCTTGGTTCATCTGCGAGCAGATATCCCCCATCTCTGGTAAACAAATGATTAACGTCTTAATGTTTGTGAGGGTCAAAGACAAAGGTAACCACTCTGCACACCACAGCTTTTCAAACACAGCAGATACGTTTCCCTTGGCTAGTTCAGTAAATGTCAGTATTTCTTTGTGATGCTTCAACATTTTTCTGACTTTTTCTTACTCAACACACAACTGTTTTGAGACTGACAATAAAATAAGAGGTCCCTCTCCCACAAAGGTGTCAGACAACATGAATGTGTTCGTTTGGGTGGTTGGGAAATTGTGTGTGTGTGTGTGTGTGTGTGTGTACTGAGGCAAGAGGAAAAAGGCAGTAACAAAGAGGATTCCTGTCCTAAGAATGAACTCACATACCTCACTATCACTAAATCTGTCATCAAAGTCAAGTCTCTCTTTCTCCATAGTATTTAGCTTCAACTTGAGGTTGGACACTTCAGACATCAGTTCAAGCTTCTGGGTCTCCAGCGCAGTTCTGCACAGCAGCTCCTACAATGACAATGGTTGCTTAGGTGCTCGATACTGGCAGCACAAATAAGTTTAGTGCTTAGTGAAACACAATATGTGAATTCTTGTGGACTGGACGTAGCAGCACACCAATAAATATGTATATATCAAACAGCAGATGTTTGCTCTTAAGATGACATGAACTCAGATGTAACAGTTAAATGTCCCCACTACACAAGAGAAGCATGCATAGCTCTCACTACAAGGTTCCCGATCTTGTAGGTAAAAATCTGTCCTGAGCTTAGTCTCATATGAAGCACAATCACACGCACCTGTTGCAGCATGTCCTCGGTAGCATTGAGTTTCTCCCTGTGCTCGTCCAAACATAAATCCAGGTCCCGTATCTTCTCCCCCTGAGCCTCCACCTGGTCTGTCAGTACACTTACCTGTGTGGATCCGAAACATTATTCCATTTTAGATAATATGTTTTTATGTGTACCTAGTCTAAGTATACTCTGGAGATTCAAGTCTCTGTGGCACTGGGAGAATTATCTGTGTTGCTACATAGGTACCTGAAGCACCAGAGACTCCTTATCACTTTCTAGTCTGGAAAGCCTTTCCTGGTAGTGGTCACCGCTCAGAGAGATGTGCCCGTTGGACTACAATGACAAAACAAAGTATGAATTAGACAAACTATTCTAAGAGAATCTGCTCTTTGACCATGTCTCTTTTTAAGTGCAAACACTGGTAAATGGTGCAGGTAACTTGATTAATTCTGCTGATTCAAAGAGCGAGCGGTGGTAGAGAAGGTAGCACTGTCACAAGAAGGTTCTGGGTTTGAACCTGGCTGCTAACCAGGGTGTCCATGTGGAGCTGCATGTTCTCCCTGTGCCTGCGTGGGTTTTATGGGTTACTCCAGCCCCCTCCCACAGTCCAAACACATGCAGGTTAGGCTGACTGGTGACTCACAATTGCCTGTAGGTGTGAATGTGAGTGGTGTTCTGTGTGTCAGTCCTGTGATGGACAGGCTGTACCCCACCCCCACCCCCTTGAGCCTGTACAGGGTAAGTGGCACAGATAATGGAAGGATGATTCTAAAAGAATGGAAAGCTTCAGTGCTTAATAATATTTCTTAGATACATCACATTAAAGTGTGACTAGCTAACTGCTTTTATTTCTTCCAAGCATGTAAAACTAAGAAAAGTGATATTGCAAAAAACAAAATTGATTAGACATTTCAACAAATACGCATAAGACATCACAAGATGCTTGAAAGGGAGTAGGAAGAAGTATACACTTATCTATTTATCATGCAGAAACAGAAAACGTACATGGCTGAGAAGAAGGTGCACATTCAGACTGCTGTACATAGAGCGAGTTACAGCATTACACAAAAGCTTTGGCATTTATTTGGTCTACAGCCCATCACTCTCCCAAACACCACTCTGGTTCCCAAGAAGCCGGCATGTTTTTTGCAGCACACTGGCTGCCACACTGACAACACCAGCATTTCATTTAGCATTCCCAGGGAACTTGGCAGAAAGGGACTTGTTTTTGCTTAGCAAACAAGTTGGTTGTCTTCTCAAACACAAGATCATTTGCCCATGCTTGTCAGAAGTGACAGAGTTTTAATGTAGCACAGAAGAGTGAGCTTAATCAGCAACAAACCAGATGTGCTAAAGCTTACTTCGAGCACAATCTGTCTAGCATCACATTCTTACATAACTTAAACTTATTCCAATGACAGAAGTGTTTCTTCTTTCAGAAATATATCAAGGGTGAAATGAAAAAACATTTCAAAGTAATCCAAAGCTTTAAAAAATTAAAGCTTAATGTCATTGGCACAAGCAGTATGGCATCACTTTTCAACCAATAAAAAAAACAATATGACTAGATTTGACACCTTTTATGTAACATAAACCAGTTATGTGACACTACCAGTGAAACTGATCTGTGATGAGGCTACACTATTCTGACAGACAGAAAAAAGATCCACATGACTGTATTTTTATGATCTGGTTCAGAAACTCCACACCTCTGCCGGTTTCATTACAAAATCTGTTCAATGTCAAAACACTGTTACTCTAAAGATATTATTTTGCATGTATGTGTAAACACTCTAATTATCTTATCTACATGTGAGACTCTCACCAGGCGACCATGGAGCCACTCAACCAGACTGTCCGCTGTAGAGTCAGGGATCTGGCAGCGTAGACTCTCCCTTTCCTCTGTATCCATCAACTCCAGGACACCCCTCAGGTCTTCCAAACGGTGAAGTGCACGCAGGCTACCCATAAAAGGAGATGTAGGCGACTGGCAGTCAAACAACCCATTGGAATAGTCCAGAGTCTTGGAGCCTAAATTAAAAAAGTACAATGGGAAACAGGAACCCATTAAAGGAGCTATAATTCCATGAAATACACTGGTGTACTGTCTCATACATACTAAAACTACAGCTCTTAATATTACAGAGAAGAATACAAAGAACATTTTGTGGTTCAGGTCGTCACAGTGATTTAAAGACACATGGCAGCAATTCACTGTGCCATACAAAAACACTTTAACCACTGTTTATGTATTAATAATAATAATAATATATTTACTAACTATTAGTTTGTTATTGTTGTCTGCACTAAAGTGAATAATTTCAATCAATCCAATTATTTGGAGACAACCATTAATTGCATGGTTTGCAAGTGTTTGAAATACTGTGATACACAATACAAACTGGTACTGTATTCACTCAAACATATCAACATTGTAATGTCAGGCCACACAGTCTGAATGAGTACAAACACACAAAAATAAACAACTATAACATCTCCATCAGTTCTTCCATTTAAAGTGGCTCCAGAAACCTCACTGGTGTTTTAGAAAACCTGTGCGCAGAGATCAACTTTATGGAGTTTTATGGCACGCTGATGATATAGCTGTGATGTCCATCTAAAATGTCACCTCTGCAACACACCATTAGAAGACACCAGATAAACTCTTATCAGTGCTGACTCAACCTGGAAGGGTTCTCAGAGACTATGTTGCTTGTTGCTTTGACACAGATACTAAAGAAAGAAACTCAACATAAATGATGAAATATTCAAAGTTAAGATATAATAATTACCCGCTATAATGCCATCCATCTGCTCCAGGGCAGCTGCCAACATGTCGCTGGCATCAGACATCATCTTCAGTCACCGGCAAGCCTGGAAGAAGACAATGAAACCATCTAAAAGAGTCACCCAGTGTATAAACAGATATGCTGGGATATGTAAGAAAAGCACGCCATCTACAAGGCTGCATGGTAACTATGAGTCTGTGGCAGCTACAGAAAGGAAAGAAAAGTATATGTGCCCTGTGCTGAGCTGTTCTACTTCCTTGAGCTCTACGCTGCAGAGATCTTATGTACATTTTGTAGAGGAAGACTAATGAATAAAGCATTACAGATGATCAATCAGGCCATTTATTTAAAATACTGGCACAATGGATGTCCTTCCCATAGGACACTGGTCACTCTGTTTGAAGCTCAGTGAAGATACATTTTAGTTTCAGTCTGGGACATCCGCCCACACAGCACAGCAGTCCCATTCTCTCTGAATGTTTTAATCAAAAGGCTCTGCATGCACAGGCACTCATCTGCACGCACACATCAGCTGCCTCACATCCTGGGAGTGCCCAGATCTGGAATGTAGCACCATTTTCAATCTTTATGGAAACCACCCATAGACCTTACACTGTTATTTCAGCATTCCTCCGGTCATGTTTTCCATTATGTGTAAAATAAGCATGCACTTTAACATAAGACGCATCACAACACACAGCCGGCTGAGAAGAGATGACTGAACTAGAATGCCATCAGTCAACGCCACAGCAAAATACTGAGTACTTTCCAACAATACATTTCTGAATCTGGGTTTTAAAAAAAGACTCTCAGGCTGTCCCACTTCACTGAGGTGATCTATTTTTATAGATTACTGTATTTGACCAACAGTCTAAAACCTTAAGATATTACTTTTACAATAATTTATGACAAAGAAACATCAAATCCTCACATCTACAAGGTGGATCCAGCAAACACTGGGCATCTCTAATTAAAAAATAGTGCAAACTAAAATTTACTGATTATCAAAATAGCTCCACATTAATTTTCTGCGATCAACTTATCAATTATGTGAACTAATTCAAGTTTGTATCACATAAGACAAAGACAAACTGCAAATTTATAAGCTAGAATAAAGATAATTAGAATTTTTGCTTTTACTTTAACAAATAATCAATTATTGCCTGAAACCACATGGCAGTTTATGTTTCCAAAAGATTGACTTTTTTTTATTTATTTCAAGCCTAAAGTACAGTGCTTTTGGAAGAGACAATGACATCTCAGAATTTATCTATGCTGTGGTGGATACACTGAGGGGAAAATGAGAATCAGGATGGGCACCAACTACAGCCAACTCCACACACTGACAACAGATGCAATAACAAATGTCCCAGTAAATGCCCCAGATCATGATTCAAACGGAAATGAAGGCCTGCAGGACATCCCCCTCAAAAACCTGAGTCAGCTTTTAGGCAAACATACAAATACAGCAGGCCAAGACCAGATATGCTGCTTGGAAACCCCATGTCCATGTGTCAGTCAGTGCTAAACAAGTGGAGAGACCATGTCTGAGCACTTCAGTGGCTCCACCCTGGATCCAGTGGAGACAAGACGCTAGCACAAAGATCACTTAACTGAGGAAATGTGCGCTCTCAAGCTCACTTCTCTAACACTTGGCACCACTGCCCAGTGTTTCAGCAGTTAGCCAGCTCTACTGTGTTTTCATGTTTTGGTGAATTAAAAGAGAATCCAGGAGCGTGGGTGCTGTACCAGCATTTGCCCTTAAGTATGTAGTCTATCTGTGCAAGCCCGCTATCAATGGAGACATCTCAAAAATCACAACAAGCAGGCATCATTCTCAAAAACAATGTCTCACTGTCTGCTCTTCTATAAGAACCACTACACCAACCATAAGACACACACACACAGAGGGCTATTGTTCTTGGAAGTGGGGTATTTCACTTAATTAAAACAAAAAAAAAAATTGGGAAGGGGGACGACACAACAACAACAGCAATGTAATGCTACAGTACACGTGGTAAAGCTGCCTGCCTGCATACTCATTTTAAACACCAAGCACCTCAAAACAAAACCAAATGGTAAAAACAGCCATATAATTCATGAGGGGTTGTGGAGGGACCCACCATAATAGCTTTTTATATCCATCAGCTCTGGTGCCTTGAGGCAGGACAAACTAACATATCCTTACTGGACACAAAAGAGAGAATCTTGTAACTCCTCAGTTCCAAGTGACCCGTAAAGTATTGCTCTTGCACACGCAGGAACCAGTAAACAAAACAAAAGCCTCAGGGCCACCTGCCTCTGAGGGGAGAAAGTGTTTACAGCAGCCATGCAGCTGACTTTACCGTCTGTGTTGAGACCAGCTGCACCACATAATGATACTTTTCAGGTTTCGGGTCATGCAGGCCTTGACTTAGTCTTTATTTTCACAAAACGTTTCCATGAGAAAAGCAAAATTCTGGCTTCCTGTTTTACCTTATACCATGAACGCCCTATTAAGCAAGGAAATCCTTAAGGAATGTTTAAGGCTTTAACAAGCTTTTTGAACTTTTCTTTAGGCATCATCTACTGTATGCATATTTGGACACTAACCACATGTGATGTGCCATGCACAGGATGCTTTAAATAACTATGAGCAAATTCTCTGTTGTCAATTTCATCTGATGACAGGTATAAAGTTATTGCCTCCAAGTTTAATTCTTGAAATAAAGCAGTGCAGTTAGAAGGCTGTGTGTTCAGTGATTCACTAGGTGCAGAGCTGCAGGGAAGTCCTCTTGAATAACCTGCAGCTATTTTCAACCTGGGTGATCAGGCAGAATACATCATCACTAATTTTATACCACCAAACAACGAAGCCTATATGAAAACGAGAGGTGGGTGTAAAGCTCAAGGAGCCTTTTCTCTATCTTTAGACTGGGTGGAGCTATAAATAAGAACCTGTGCATATGGTGATGCAGTGTAAGCACACAGAACGTAAGATGAACATTTGGTTTGTGAAATAAAGAGCTCCCGTGTGTACAATCTTCAAGAATTTTTCCTGTCCTCATATATGCAAAAGATCTCAGCAGCAATTGATTTGTGTTGGACAGCAGCACACATTCTTTTCATAGTTTTCACTCATGAGTGCACTGTTTGCACCTTAACTTGATTTAGAAGTTTTTCATCTTTGACATGCAAAAAGCAAAAAGCTATGAAACACTGAATAGTACTGATGGAACAGAGGGTTAGGTTACATACATCAAAACACAGCTGTTCTTTAGCTGTGAAAAACACACATTCACAAAATCATATCAGTAAAATAACTAATATTGCTGCAGTTTTGCCGACCAACATCAAACATGTTTAGCATTTGTTCTATCTAAATAACTGCTTTTTCTGCAGTAAAGGCAGGAAGAACCTGCAATGAAGAGCCCTGGTGGTTTACCTATTAACTGAACTGCTAAATTATTTATAGAAAACCCTGGAGTAACATCACATTAAATACCATACTTAAATCTGACACAACTGTCTGCTGTGCAGCACAGCTACTTTCAGAAAACCAACTTCTGGTGATTTCCTCCAGAGCAGCTTGGTGTCTGGTTTGCAGACGACGCTGTTGTTTTGGAAGGAAGACCAAACAGTTTTAAGTTCTCACCTTGAGGGCAATACAACAGCTGTTTAAATCTCATAGCTTTTACAAAACCCCAGACGCCAACTCTAAACAACCTCCCTTAGTTTACAGTTTACCAGAGAGGCATTCATTGTCAAGGATGGGCACCACCTCACGGCAACATCCGAACGGAGGCAGTGTAGTCTACGCTAACCGGTGGCCTCGGGCGCTGGGCATAACGTAGTTTACCTAGTTTACGTAGTTATGTCTGGCAGAGTCTGGAGCTGTGGCAAAGTTATGAACTGATTAATCTTAGACTGTCCTCCCCCCGTCAGGAACGTTTAGACTCCGGTTTCGTTGTGAGGAAAGGTTAAACTCGATGCAAAACCGTTATCACCGCATGAAGTGTAGATATGTGCCTTGATTATTTTTCGTACAAGTGAAGTTAAGTTAACTACCGATAAGTTAACTTGCGGGGATGCTCGAAAACCCATAAGAACTGTTAATGCAATTTCAGCAAAGTCAACGTTATTCCACTGTAAAAACATTACATAGTCGTTTGTTTTAGACTAAACGTTAAGCCACCTCTAAACCGAAGTTACTGGAAATATGAACGTATAAATCACAGCCACAACATAAACAAACTCACTTACCCAAATTCTGCTCGAAGAAATTTCAATACTTCCGGTAGTTTGTTTCTTTTATTATTTAAAATAACTCCCGTGTGCCTGGTTTTCGAACTTCTGCATGCCCACCAGTGTTACCCCCTTCCGTCCACATCCCTACGCCATGATGTCGAGCTGACATGGTTGCTGGAAAACTCGGTACGTCATAGCTGGAAAATCCCGCCCTGTCTCGGCCTGATTCGATCTGGGATCGGGAGTCCTGGTGCATTCACTGTAGGACAGAAAAGATGGGGTCTGAGAGTTTTACACTTGATAAACACATCGACTTTTGATGTGAACCGACGAACAGGACACAAAATGTTACTTGAAAATTGATGAGTATTTATTTCTCTGTTTATCTGTGTAAAAGATGACCAGAAATAATCACGATTAACAGTTATCTGTGTAAAAGATGACCAGAAATATTCACAATTCACAATTTTCTTCCAGGTAGAGCGTTTGATGTGCAATAATCCCATTGGACGGCCTTATTTGCATTACAGGCAACGTAGGAGTCGTGGTTTTGCCAATACTTGAGCGCAGCATGTTCCTCAAAGTCTGGGAGGTGCCTGCATGTCATATTTGAAGAGGCACAGGCGACATCATGTGGTCTATAAGTGGCAGTGGTGGTAATATCCAGTCAACCAGTGACACAATATTAAAACACCAAAACACAACAAATGGAAAATGTGTTGCTGCAGTGATTCCTGGAAATATCAGTCCAAACGCTGACTGGTTCATTTCTCTGCACCCCACTCAGCCAAGGGTCCCCAAAGCAGTATCCTTCCTCAGGGGCCTCTCCACCTCCTCTGTGTTGGGGTCACATTCAAGCATCTCTCTGATCCAGTCATCATCCAGAACTCCTGCAGACTGATGATGGCTGCAGACAAGGGCAGGAGCTGATTACAAACAAAGACCAGAGGACAGACCTAGTATTCTTTAGTTTAGTTCCCTTTTTAATCTGTGCATTCACATTAGTGAGCAGTTTAGTGCTTTTTTAATGTGCCTTAATTATTGTGTCACACCTTTGCACACAGATTATACACTTCAACATTGTAACATTTTGTGCACATCACACATACTGTGCATTATCTTTGCATTACTTCAGCTTTACATTGAGGTAGGTGCTTGCATCATCTCTTGAATGATGATCTTAAAGGCTTGGCCTAACTAGTAAGGTTTGCATGACAACAAAACCCTGTTTTAAGGTTTTCAGAAGTGACATGAAGGCTTTAAGATAATACATTCAAAAGCCACTGTTTTTAATTAAGATTTTTTAAAAATATCTTAATTGGGATCATTGTAAATCCTCATACTCTAGAAAATAGTGCAACTAATTGAAAAACAAATCCCTCTGTTGAATGTTTTTGCACAACACACTAAATGCCCTACAGTATGACTATGTGGGGGTGTGTGTGACATCCATTGTTTCATAAGAAAATAACAACACACCATGATAGAGCGGGAAAAAATAATTTCCTCGCCGTTATTGTCTTTATCTAATCTCACAAATATCCTGTTGGTACATTCTTCAGCTGTGAGTGGGTTGGGTTTGGTTAAAGCAGTGTCTACACACGTTTTATATACAGCCTGTGAAGAAAAAGAATTGAAAAATGCAGCATCTATGTTATCATCTCACGATAAGCTCGAAATGTGCGCCCTGACTTTGGTTACTTAGTGCACAGCACAGCAGAGGCACACCTGCATGATCTCCAGCGTGTCCTCCCTTGAAATGGTCGCATCTCCCATCTGTCACAAAGCTTGAATGACCAGCAGTTTCTCCACAGCTGAACCTTCAAAAAGCATTCTGATGGCCATGATGTACTCTCTGAAATCAACCACCCCATCCTAGAAAACAAAGAAAAGAAAAACACCTGTAATAGGATTTTAAAATGTTTTTAAGATTGTTGAGACAGATAACATTTATTGTTCTGTCAATGCTGTAGAAAAAGTACTGGCTCCAAACTGAGATATAGAACATATACAATAGTGCCATTCACAGTACTTTGCTTACCCCATTAATATCCAGTGTGCGGAATACCTGTTCTGCATATTCAGCTGCCTCACTACCCACTGTTCCATTGTGGAAATGCCTCATGAAGAGTGATCAGCCCATTTGGACATTCATTAATAAACGTTCTATTGGGGAAAAATACGACTCAATAAAACGAATTGTTTCAGTTGTAATTGGATGATGGGCCAGATTTATAGCAGGTGAAATGTATCCTTTAAATTCAGAATTAAGGTCACCCATCCCCAGCCTGTGGCTTGTTTTTGAAACCTTGTTTATACCTTGAGATCAGAGTGCTAAGATAATTAGACCGATTCATTTTGAGCTACTTTACCACATAAAGTTGCATAGCCAAGTAAAACTATGTCATGAAAATAAAGTAGGGCTAAAACACTATTCAAACACAAGTTTATACTAATGCTCAGAAAGCAAAACAAAAGGAATAAAGGGCCAATGAGGTGGTTTTTAGATGTGTGTGGAAAACAACATAGCCTGTATAACAAAGCTGATCCTCTCACCCAGTGTCAGCTGGGCGAGAGGCGCAGTTATACCCTGGACAGGCTGCCAGTCTATCATAGGTGTGACACACAGTCAGGCAATGGTTCACACTCACACCTGTGAGCAAGAGTTACAACCAAATCCACATCTTTTAACTGTGGAAGGCAGAGTAGCCAGACAAAACCCAGGCAGGTACCGGGAGACCATGCAGAGCGGCCTTGACAGACTGCCAGGTTCAAACCCAAAACCTTCTTGCTGTGAGGCGTCTGTGTTAACCACTGCACCACCATGATCCAAATATACAGACATTGGAAAAATATGCCCAAAGGTCCCATTGAAAGTTTGGTAAACTAATATTTATTAACATGTCAACCTGGGAAGACAGCCCAGACATGTTGATAGTAGCAGCAATAATGCAATTAACAAATACAGTAAGTGTTTTCTCTGAAGCCCCAAAATCAAACAAGAATGAACTTATAATGTGGTAGGAAGTGGTACAATAGAGGCAGGAACAAGCTCCCAACTGCCCAATATAAACCCAAAGGTCCAACCTCATGTGCAGTGACAGTTAGCTGTGTCTGTCTTAACTTCCCAAGGCTAATGATACAACACATTTCAAGACCTATAACAATAATTGATACAAGAATGGCATGCAACTAGACACAGAGCAGGGCATGAAATCAAACCCTAAAGTACAAAGTCTACAGTTTTATTTTAAACGAAGACAGAAGCAAAATATGTGACCGTTTAGCATGGTTGTCACCAAATAAGCTTATGAACAATGTTTTAGCTCTCTGGGGAAAGCTACAACAGTACACTGATTGAAGAAGAAGAAGAGGGGCAAAAAAAAGAAAAAGAAAACTGCCTTTAAAAAGGACCAGCCTATGTCTATGGCACAACTCCATAGCTCTGCATGTTTGGTTAGGTAGTGAGTGCTGAAATCACGTACAGTTCCTTTTTCATCCGCTTCACTCATTATGTGCACAATATGCCATGTTACATCAAGTTAACTCAGTGATACATTGTAGCCCTCTCATCAGTCTGTGGAAATGCCAGGCGGCAGGCGGTCTCCAAAAATAACAGGTTTATTGTGTGTCCGAGCAGAAATGTCCAAAGGCACTTCGGACACAGGCAGGAGTGTCTTTGTCAGTTCAGCCACTCCCTTCCACCGGCTCCTTATTATTCAAGCATCAGTGAGAAAAGACGGTATTCTTCATGATTCACAACAACCTCTTCTCGAAGAATAGTTCTTATTGGAAAAGCCTCAACAGTTCTCAAGAAATGAGTGAAGCGGTGGCCCAAGAGGAACAACGGCATGGCATGAAAACTTCACAGTTCCATATACAGACTATGTAGATAGTTATACTATGCTATGCTCTGACTGGGTTAGATATTAATGACTGAGGTTAAGATGCAGATATGCAGGATAAACATGACTAACAATATCTTTAAAACAAAAATCGGTTAATATGTAGACTGTTGTTCATTGCATTGTCTGTGAGACTTTAGTGTTCACTTCTCTGTTAAAAGAAATGTAAAAATACACACAACTGTCTATAGGGTATTAAATAAGCTCACTCAATGTGCCAAACAGATAGTTTAACTGAATTTCAGTAGTTCATCTTCCAATTTTCTTTACTTTATAAAGTTTGCATTTACAACACATTGACAAAAAGTTTAAATTTTTTTTTAACAACTGTGAACAGGGGAAGTGTACCAATATCATTTTATTAAACTGATACTACAAGTAAAGCATAATTTCTGTATCATTTGGCATCAGCAAGGCTTTAACTACCAATCTTTTTGAGACTCACAATTTGACAGTAATTTGTCACACAGTAATTATTTAGAATTCCCAGGTCATCTGCCACATGGTCACCAACATATACTGTAAGTCATCACTTACTGCTATCAATGTTATAAAGTGTTATAGAGGATGTGCAATACAGGGGCAGAACAAAGCTCTATATGAGGTAAATGGAAATGGGATTCATACAACTCAAGTTCTCAATGAATATTATATCACAAGTCAGCAGTGGGTCTCACACCTTCTGGAGGTTTTCTGAGTAATGCATGATAATGGGAGTGACAATTATATGGAGAAAGGGAACACCTTAAAGCTTTGAATTTATGGAATGATGCTGTATAAAGTCACCTGACAATACTGTATGTTTGACAAGCACAAAAACTAGTCCTTTTGAAGGACTGTCAGTGTGTAACAGTACATAAAAACAGCTAAAGATATGGCTTAACTAAGATAGAAAGCAGAAACAGTAATAAGTACAGACTCATTACACCACATACCCATGTACCTTACAGAGGAAAGCATATAAAATTTAAAATGGAGTACAGAATACTGCTACAGTTACAAATAACTATGTCATTACTATGTTTATATGGGCCAACTTTGTTTTCTTCACTTCCTGGGTTAACACGTCTACTGTCAGACTCAACCTCAAGCATATATTGATAAAATGTCCCATATGTGAAATGGCCTTGCTGTTCAGCTGTTGCTACCAACCCTCTAGTTTAGCTAAAATGCTGTTTTGCTTTGCATGATGTAGCACTGCTATGCTCTTAAATCCACAGGAGTTCATGAATGGTCAACCACCAAAACCAGCTGCACTCCAACACATTTATGAAGACGAAATGTTAAATGCTTAAAGCAAGGGCAAATGAAGTGCAGGGCAACCTGTAGAAGTGGGCATATTGTGAACTGAAAATATTTGTCCTAAGCAAACCATCTCTTTAAGACAGATATGGCCTGCAACCATACCAAATGTATACATACACAGCATGTTCCCATCACTGTACAAGAGAAGTTCCTGGACTGCTTCCATTGAAAACTTAACTTGTCGGTGTCTGACAAGTTAAGAGAAAACCTCTGAGCAGCACATAATTGGGTGAGTCTCAACGTTAGAGGCCATAGAAGTGTGGTCTTCGATTGGTACATAAGCTAGCTGTGGGCTGGACCCTGAGGGTCACACAGATGGGTTGGGTTATCAAGGTTTCTTCCTTGCATTTTAATTATTAATACAGTACCTAACCAAATTACAACATTTTAAAAAACATGAAATCAATTCAGTGCATGTTTTTTGCTTGGTCACCCCCAAACCTTTGTTCAAATGTAGATGGAGGAGAGGAATATAAGCAGGAACCCAAAGCCATCATGATGTACATCATATCACTATCATTTGTGTTCTTCAATCTATAGAGGCCTCGTCAGTTAAATGGAAGATGACAGTAGATGTGAGGAAAGCAGTGAGGAACAATGTTTCAGGGCAGACAGACCGCTGTAAGGCTGTAGAGGCACATCCTCCTCCTGAACAGGGAAAGCAGATGTCCCTTATTGTCATCAATCCTGCTCCCTGTTAGAGCAGCCATCTGAAGGCTACACAGCTTATGTGAAAAAATGTAATTAATAAATAAAAAAAGTCTAAAAAACAGAATGCCTGGTCTTGGCATCAAAGCAGTTCTCATCATCAAAAACTGATGGTCCAAGTGTTTTTTTTTCCTCAGTGTGCGCCAGCGTCACACTGCAACAGCAGATTCTATAAAGACCAGTGCATCTCTTCCAAGTCCACAGCCTCTCCAAAGTTTGTGTCTGTCTCCAGGAGACTCATGATCACTGCCATGGCGGCTTCGTCGTTGCTAAGACTATTAAGGCCCGGTCCAACCACACTGTCCAAATCCAGCTGGGAATTCTCTCCTGAGGTGAGATGAGGAGACAGAGGAGAAACAACAAAAATACAAGCCAACAAGCTGTAAGAGGAGGTATAATAATCACCATCCTACATAAGTTTATTGATAAGCTATTTATTAGAATCAGAAAAAGTACCCATGAGTGTCTCCCCTCCTGAGAATGCTGCTCCTTGAGGCTCATCCTCTGAGCTAGACTTTCCAGCTATCTCCATGTCGGCTGCTTCACCGTTTGGCACCTGGAGAGCAAAAGAGAAGAAAGTTATAGCAACATGGCAATATTGTTTTAGAGATTAAAATTCAGACCATTTACAGGGATAATCAGAAAAAAATGTTCACATAATACTGAAAGCTGATTTGGTGTCATTTCAATTTGCAGTAATAAGATGACTGAACAGCCTTTGAAAATGAGTAATGAACTTTGCTGCCACTACCACTGTAAAAGTATACTTTAAAACTTGCCTACTCCACAAGAAAATTACACATTGGTCGATTTATAGAGAAATGTTTAAAATTTAAATATGTACAGTGGAGTTATAAATCAGAGCAAGCCTTTCTGGACTGGGCTACTCTGCAAAGTTTCATGCTGTTTTTGTGAATGTGAAAGCATTTTGACTGTGATAGATGCACTGGTAATAAGATACATGTACAGAGACTTACATTGTTGCTGTTCTGATTGTGATTTTGAGGGGACTTATCCTGTGGTAGACTGAATGGGCTGACATTACCGCTGGAAGGTGATGAGTTCATCCTAATGCAGCACAGACATAGATCAGCTTAAAACTGCACCAAGTAATATCTACAGCAGCTGATAAGCCTATCAACTGTAGCCCAAACAAATACTGCTGCATTAATGTAGGTGGACTGAAAAGAAAAAGAGTAGCAGTTGAACAATTATGTCTGTCACTGTTACAAAAAGTAAATATGGCATGCTTTGTTGTGAGGTTGCACCTGTTGAAATCCAGCAGCTCATTGGCAATTTGGGTCCCAATGCTTCCAGCATAAATCATAGTTCCAGGTGTGGTGGAAATGCCTGGTATAACTGGGAGGGACTTTTTGTCATCTTCTAAAAGAAACAAAAGGTCAAATGTGACAGAACAGAAAACATGCTCTTATAGGGGGATATTTACTCAACTGTCGCAAATTACCGTCAGGCGCAGAAAATATTGCGGCACGTTGGATTTTTCATTTAGCAGCATACTGACCAACACTGATGATGTCAGTGAGTTAATTTGAATACACCTTCACTTCGGATCTGCCGCCTGAAGGCTGCTGTGCACGTGTGGTCCAAGACGAAGTGGACAGGAAAGTTTAATGATGTAGTCTCCTGTCAGTCAAATCATCTTATAATTCATTTAGTAACTGAAGAATGATTTGACCTGAAAGCCTGTAAAGGTCCCTCAAAACACCCTCTCTTTCCATTAATATGCTGCTAGCTCCCAAGAGATTTCAGATGACAAAGAGCTGCCACGCTGACAGCAGGGCCGCAAGTTTTACACCCGCTTTCTCCTGATATTGAACTTCAGCTGCAGTTCCCTCTGTCACAGTGGTGGTAAATCAGGCACTATGGGTATTTGTATAAATTTACATTCTCTTCTCCCTGATTTTTGTGCCTCTGAACAGGAACGTCTTAAAATATATACTGCATGAAACTCAACATGCAAATTCCTGCATTGCACATTTCTTCCGTTTCTCCACCCCAAAACCCCTCTGTGCCTCCTTAGTAAATATGAGCACATGTATTTTCACTGAATAGCACCAGAAAATGAGCCACTAAACCTTAGTAAATATCCCCAGTGAATATTAACTAGTGAGCATAACAATACATCCAAGATATGACTGATTCTTTGCCATTTTTTTTCATATCAACTGACCTTCAGAAGTCTTGAAATTGCTTGACTGTTCAGACTTGTTTCCAGACTGGCTTGTTCGGCTGTGATCATACCTTGTTATGGGATGTGGCTTGGATTAATATATATATCTCAAAGATGTTTAGGTAATGCAAGAGAGATTAAAGCGTATACTCACGATATGACTGTATTAGTTGACACTATGTATTCTACTTCTTTGGTCCAGGGATTCACAAAACTAAACCACTGACTTTGCAGAGTGACAAAAGAGCCGTATTTTGTTTTGAACTTATAGCAGTTTGTCTCTATCTTCTCTTTAGTCCGCAGCACTGTGAAGGAAAAAACAAACAGGACAAGTTAGAGGACTAACACAGGCATCAGTATCACCTCCTTAAGGCAGAGAAAATTACAGGCACAGGACCAGCAGACATAAAATATGAGGAAGCTATAAATGGTGACTTACTTGATTTTCCTGTAGTTCTACACTGCAGTTAAAATGTAATTAAAATTCAACCTACATAATTGAAAAATATAGCCATCATCTTAGCAGATGTAGAAAAATGGTAATGAGACAATAAGACAAACAAGACAATTAGAAGAACAATGAGGATTACTGAAGAAAGTAACTGACCTTTTCGATGTCTGTCGGCTAAATGGGGCAGGTCGTCTTGATGGAAGTACTCATAGCATGATGTCCCAAGCAGCTCTTGGGGTAGATAACCAAGAATGGTTGTCGCTCTGCAGAAGAATGAATTACGTATAAATATGTACTACATTATTGGGAATAATGTATGTATTCAATTTGTACTTTCTCATCCATCGTCCTCTCTGATGATCGGTGTCAAATATGGCAGAAATGTCAAGGACAGCTATTTGAAACGTTGTGTCAACGTTATGTCAACAACAAACCCATCAATACTTACTCCCTTATAGAAATTCAACTCTACCTTTGATCGACAAAGGTGAATTTGCCATCCATGGCGTAGCGGGTGATGAACTCTGTGGGTTTCACTCGGACTTCTCCGTTAACCTGTGGAGATGAGTGGGAGTGGACTCGTCCCACCGCCACCAGGCAGCTGAAGTGGGAGCCATCCTGCTTATCTGCCTCCCCCTCACCCTCTGCTCCCAACTGACTAGTAGGCCAGCTGCGCATGTAGCCTGTACAGTGGACTGTGCAGTACTTCTGTGACTCTATAAGCACACGCAGACACAAATCACACATCAAACATGACAAACAACCAAAACTCTACATGAAGAAAAAAAGTTTTTAGAAATTAAACCTAATTAAAAATGTAGTGATATGCTATGTAATTTTCCCCACCTTTCTTTTTAGAGGCGCTTGCCTGGAACTCCTTCTTCTCCACTTTGACAGAAATTTTGTTGTACTTCATGCGGCAGAAGAAAGAACGCCGTGCGCCCGAACACATTCGTGCTGCACTAACTGGGAGGTCAGCCTGGACCTGCAGACCAGCTGGGAACATGACAGGAGAGTCAAAAGTGCTCTCACACAGTCAAAATAATTGCTGCTGGTGGTCTTGTGTTATTGTGGTGCTGGTGGCTCAGGGTAGAAGCATCACCAGTACACTCCTAGCCTTTTGCTGATTAAACCCACCATCCCGCTTTACTTTCTTAAATTTACCTTTCTCTCCCCACCCACCCCTCCCCTAATTTATTTACTCTATTTTATTTTTCTTTGATATATACTGAATACCAGACTGCAGAGCTGAATACACTCACATTATACACCCTCACACACAAACAAGCTAAATGTAAAAATCCCTGTCTCTTTTGTAAATGTTGGTTGTCTTATCTTCTTTCATGTGTTGTAATAAAAAAAAAAAGCTTTACTTTTAGCATCTATTAGCCGTTCACGAGGGTATAATTCAGAAGCTGACAGCTGCTCCTTCACTTTTCCCATGTCCTTAGGGTGTATGTAATCAAACAGGCTCTGCCCAATCAGCTCCGCCTAGAAGAACAACAAGCAGCTTTTCAGAATTGACCTAAACAAGGTTACCATGCTGATAAAAAAAAAAAAAAAAAAAAAAAAAAAAC